AAAAAAAAAAAAAAAAAAAAAGAAAGGTTGTCTTCCTAAATGCATAGTTTCTAGTACATGCCTAGGATACTAACAGCGTATTAATAGTGAAAATAACAGAGCTGATAAAGTTAAACATTAAACAGTATTTCATTATAGCACATAATGTTATCCTTTATGAAAGGTAATTGTTTTCTCCCTAATAAGAGTTTAGTTAGACTATTAAATGATAAGCATAATGGTTGAAGAATTGTAATAATTCATTTTGAAACGTAGTTAATTAACATATACCTACTTTGGAAGCCTCTGAAGTTAGTTAATAGTTATCTCAAATAAAATACATTCCTTTTGGAGGAAAAGAGAAAATTGATTGTAGCTGAAACACTGGAGTTTTACATTGTTTACAAAAAAACCACTTTTCCATCTTACAACGTACATCTCCAGTAAATGTAAGTTAAACTCAGCTCTTCCCTTTATGATCCAATATTGCTTTATCAAAAAACTAAATCAAATCTAGCAAAATAAATTATTTTTGTTGTTGTTGTTGTGTAATTTTCTCCCTTATCTTTTCTGGGCACTTCAGAGTGTAAAGCTGTTCACTTACTAAAGGAGAGAGTTAAATTTGTTAATATGAATATATCACCTCTTCTTGCCTAAAAACAGATGTGAAACTTGTAGAGATTATTTCAGTGAATTATCTTCAGCTTTTTGTAGGAAACTTCCATTTTGTTGTTTTTAAACTTTGCTGGTAACTATCATAGAATTACATAGCTTTAGACTTCAGAAACTATCCAGTCCAACTACCATTTCACGCAAAAGATAGGGGAAAGTCTAAACAATTTGCAAAACCAACTTCACATTTTTGTGTGATTCAATTTACATATAAGATACTTCAGTTTGCCTTAACCAGCACAAATTAATTTAGCCAATCAGATGTGTTAATAGTCTGTACAACACACATATTTCTGGTGATTGTAGAGCTCCAGAAAGTTCATTCTGGCAATACCACAAGTGGAAAAGCTCAGTAGAGATTCTAAATCCATGCACTCTTTTATGAAGTTGAAAAAGTTTGTTAAAAAGGCTCATCCAAACTGAGGGCACCTAGTCATTTCAGCCTGTGCAAAAATGGATGAACTAACACATGAACTGTCTGAGCCTTCATTGGCAGATCTCATGAATCTAAAGACTGACTAAATACCGGTTTTGTCACTGTTGTTTATACATCTAAGTATCTAATAAGCTGAGCTGAAGTGTTGGCATATATATAAATGGGTGATAGAAGCATTCATTCAAGAAATCCATTGTCTGTCCCATTTAAAAACTGTAAGATAAAAAAGGATAACAGTGATTACTATCAAGGCTTTTTTTGACTGGTATAATTTGGGGTGCAGTGGAAGATAGTTCTTACTGGTATTTTTTAGAAAAAAAATCTAGCTTTTGATACGGTAAGATTTAGAAAGAAAGATTATATGAAAATTTAAAATAATATGAGATTGGGCTAATTTCTTTTTTCACTGCAGCAAGATGTTTTTCCAAAAACAGGTTTACACCAAAATATTTTTTCATAGAAACGTCACCCGCTTCCACTATGCTGGAGGGAAGTCCAAAGACACCCGGCTGCACAGGGATGCTGCTGAGAGCTGGCTGGGAGAGACTTGTCACTAGGCGGTGCTCTCCGGAGAGCAGCGAGAACTCCATCTACAAACGGAAGGGGAAAAGGAAAAATACCTCTTTTATCTGCCTCAGAGCAGTTTGATATGAGGTTTTACTTTTCTAGAGTACACCTTGACAGAAAGTTCACGTTTTAGTCATTGCTTGTAGAAAGAAAAAGTTCACTGAGAAATCAAACCATCTCCTTCAAACACATACCCCCGCACAAGTGTGTGTGCAGAAGGGGTTGCGTTTTAGATGACCACGATTTTTCAGCTCTATTCTATTTACCCCACCCGACTCTGCCGAACACTTTCCTGAGGACGCGGACCGCCGGGAGGGAGCGAGAGGAAGAGACGCGGAGACTAGCGCGGAGTCCGGCCGGGGTCGCCGCGCGCCCGCAGCGTCCCGGGTGCATCCAGCCGGCCGGCGGCCGCCGCGCTCGCGGCAGAGGTTTCCATTCCCGCCGCCGCGCTCCCTGCGGGTATTGCGCCGAGAATACCTTTCCCAACCAGATCGCCGGTTTGGAGGAGGTCCAGCTCTTGCCCAGAAAGGGCCAATAAAATGGGAAAGTGCGCAACTGATTGATAATACATTTTACAAGAAGAAAAATTAAAGGAGGTAAACTGTTGAATTCTCACAAATGGGCCTGCCTACAACCTAAAACTTTCTGCAAGACGCGGGCCTGGACGGAGGGCCCGGGAGCGCTCCCGAGGGCGTTGCCGAGAGAGCCGGCGAGCCCGGGGCCGAGGGTCCAGCGCGCTGTCCTCCGGGGGCTCGCCGGGCGGGTGAGGGTGGCAGGGGGCCGCCGCGGTCCAGCCAGGGGGCTGTGTCCGGGGGTCCCAGCGCTAACCCAGACCCTGCCCTCGACCTGTCTGGGGCGAAGCGACCTCGCCCCCGGGAGTGGTCCCCAGCCTCGCCGGCAGATCCCCCAAAACACACAGACTCTCGTAGACTTATTAAATGTGAGGCAATCAGGCAGCTCCTTTTTTAATAGCCCGAGATCTACATTTAGACAAAAACAGATCCGAGTTCCTGGTAAAGGCGTTTCTTCTCATCCTGTCATAAGTGACAGGAACGGAGGGAAATAGACTGAAGGAGAGAAGGGGGGTAGAAGGGGAGGAACAAGGAGGGGAGGGAGATGGGAGAGGGGGCCGCCGGGGTGGAGGTGCAGTGTAGGTGCGGAGGAGATGGGGGTGGTGAAGGGGGTGTCTGACGAAGATCCGCGCGGGGATACGAACACACCGGCGGCTTCTAATTAAAGACCGGAGCCGGGCCCTCGGGGACCCGCCTGACGTCGGCAGCCGCGGGGATAAGAGGGGCCCCGAGGTCCGAGGCCGGACTCCGCCAGCCCGCACCCCAAGCCACCGCGAGTTCCACGCCCACAGCTCCGAGGCGCCGCGTCCCCTCCTCGCGCGTCCAGTGCGCCCCGCGGCCGGGCGCCGCCGGGGATGGAGTAGGGAGCCGGGCGCCAGCTCCTGGGCGCGGGGACTGACGCCGGAGGACGCGCACGGCTGCGGGGCGCGGGGACGGGCGACTCGGTCGGGTTCCTGCGCGCAGGTGGCCTCACGGCTGGCACCGGGCAGGTACGAGCCGGGCTCCCTCCACAGGGCCAGGGGTTTTCCAGAACCGGGCACAGCGGGCGTCTGGGGAGAGGGTCTCGTCGCGGGGGCTTCTCGGCGGAGATCGGGAACACAGGGAGGAGGGGGCGGCCGCCACACAAAGGCGCTGCTGGAAACTTGAGCCCGGCCGCCGGGCGGGGCGCCCACCTCCGCCCCCCGACTCGCCGGGGTGCGCTGCGGATCCCCGAGGGAGACGCTTGGGCCCGAGCCCCCGAGCCGCCGCTGGCCCCTGCTCGGCGCCCGTGGGGGACGGAAAGTTGAGGCGCCGCGCCGCGGGGCTCCGGCCGATGAGCCATCTCCAGGAAAGTTCGGGGCCGCGGCGGGGCCGAAGCGAGTACCGCCGGGAGCGGAGGTCGCGCGGCACCCACGGCGCGCTCTCCACGTCGCCGCGAGGGGCCTCGGAGAGGGGGCGTCCTCGTGCGGACCCCGCCCAGCCTCCCGCCCTGGCTCCGCAGCTGCCCTCCCGGTCCGGAAGGCGCGGGGCGCCCCTCCACCGGCTTGGCGCGCGTCCTCCGGGGCGCGGGGGCCGGGGCGCGCGGTCCGAGGGGAGTGGCCTAGCCTCCCTCCCTGCAGACCGGCTCTCCGGGTCTCCCCGCACCCTGTCCCTCCAGCGAGCCGAGCTCCGGGAGCGAACCGACCCCACCCGGCCCGGACGAGCGCAGAATGCACGGACCCGGGCGCCCCCTCCTGCTGGGGCTGCTGCTCGTGCTGGGGGCGGCGGGGCCCGGCAGGGGCGGCGCGGAGCGCCGGGAGGCCGCGGACCAACAGACGCTGCTGCGGCTCATCGTGGAGATCGTCCAGGACCTCAGGAAGTACCACTCGGGGGAGTCCAAGAGGCTGCAGCTCTCGGGCCGGCAAGACTACATCCTGGACCGCAGGGAGGTCGCCGATTACCCTTACCCCGAGGAGCAGAGAGTGGGTGAGTCCCCGCCCGCCCGCTGTGGAGGCGAGCGCGCCGCCTGCAAAGGCCTCCTGCGTGTGGGGCTGGCCGAGCCCCCCGGGTCTGCCTGTCCTGTATCAGGGGACGCTAGAAGATCCAGGACTTGCTTGGAGATAGAACTCTGAGAACGCATACGTAGTTTTAAAATATAAATGCATTTCTACTGTTTAAAAAAAAAAGCTGGGAAATATTTTTATTTAAAAAAGGATATAGGAATTCCATGAATGATGCTTGGCAGATAACATAACTACCCCTCATCCACATCTAAGATGTGTGAGTGGTTACACTGGTCGGTAATTTCAGCATGGAACTGTCATCTGTTATTTTGGAAATGGAAATATTTTCAGCAAAGCAGTTTCAACTGAGACAGAAATGTTTCAGAATCCCCCACCCCCATCCCCACGGCAGAGCCTTCCCAGAGTGGCTGCCCTCTGGGAAATTTCCAAGGAAAGCATGGAAGCTTTTAATGCTTTCATGACACAATCAGGTCAAATATGATAAGGTCAATTTTATATAGACTGACTAAAGTTAGTTGTAAACGAAGACTGACATTTAGGAGATGTCTAAACCTTGCAAGTAAGATTCTTATGGAAAATTTCCCTCTTTGAATGAGGAGAATTGGTGGTAGTGTGACCACATGCCATCACATTACCAGTGCAGATCAGGTGAGTAAAAATGAATCCAGATGACTGTTAAAAAGAGCAAACACAAGGCTGAAAGCAGAAAGGATGTCAGTCAGGCTAGTCACCAACTCCAGCTACGACTGCGCAGACACATCTTTCCCTGGGAACTGTGCTTTTAGCTCCTCTACGTGGTTCTGTCTGTTTGCATGCATTCATATCAGCCTTCACAACAGGTGGTACTGACAGAACCTCACCCTTTTTCTAAGTAAATACCTAGAAGAATATGCCTATAGCAGATTTTGTTTGTTTGTTTGAAGGATGATATCAGGTTTTCTTCTTAGAACTTTGAGAGATTGTTGAATTTGATTCTCTAGGTCTTCAAGATGAAAATGTCTAGAGTGATTTACTCACTGGAAGATAACCGTCACACACACCCACACACACACACACTTCATGGTCCCTGACTCTCTCCTGGTGGTGGAGATTGGTGTTAGTAGTGGATCTTGGAGAGTTGTGAACCTGATTTGGGGACAATGTGCCCACTCACTCGTCCTCATATTGCCATGTACAGCGATCAAGGGACTGCTGTGATTGCTGTTTATAGCAGAATATCCAGTAATTTTAAACATGCACTTCAGATCACATGAGAAAATGCTTCTTTTGGTCAAGTTAATAATTTATTTCTTTTCCCTTAAACAGAAATTGTCCCTCGAGATCTAAGGATGAAAGACAAGTTTTTAAAACATCTTACAGGTAAGCTTTCCGCTCATTCCTTTGCCTCTCCCCAGGTACTGGCCTCCAGGAGCTCTCACTATCTGTTTCCTCTTGTGCATTCCAGGTCCTCTGTATTTCAGCCCAAAGTGCAGCAAACACTTCCACAGACTTTACCACAACACCCGAGACTGCACCATCCCCGCATGTAAGTGACTGCACCTGAATCGCTGGGCCCTCCGCCTGGGTGAACAGGTGCCTGCCTTGTGTCACCCAGACTCGTGAATATTTACTCCCTGCTGACTCTGCAGTCAGGGGCTGGGCTGAGTAGACCATTGAGGAAGATAACGACAAGCAGCAGCTAGTGCCAGACAGAACCTGGTTTACACTTGCTGGAATTAATGAACTCTTGGAATGGGCTGGACTCTTCCGTGCATTTCTTGAATTCTGGCCTCGTGCCTGTCTTTGTATCCACTCAACTCTAACAGTGGAGCAAACACTTAAGATGACTTGCTGAGATGACTACTATAGGGTGTAAAGTATCAAAGGATGGGTCTGGACCATTCTCACCACCCTGGCCACAGACTTTTTGCTTTTACCAGTAATTATAACCTCATCACCCAAGAATTTTACTGCTATTTCAAAACTTTGCTCTTCTGCTTGGCTTCATCATTCACTCAGAAATGCAGGTGCCCCCTCCATGTGGCTCTCAGCTGTAACTTTCTGGGTTATCCACAACAAAACGGATTTCATTTCCCCCAAAAATGGCTCCTTGTGCTCTTCACAAAACATGCAGTGATGACAAGCAGCTTAGTAGGTAGAGTGACATGTGCTAGAGCCCTAAACCAATTTTTTTGTGTGTAGGGACCACAACTTTCCATCCCTTTAAGGCTCACAGGAGGACAGCTGTGCAAATAAGTCAAGTCCTCTTAGGAGCTGTTTTCAGGACCATCCTTAGGGGCAGCAGACCAGATCTGCCTGCCATGCTCAAAACACTAAGCCCCTTTCCATGAAGGGGAAACTGTCTTGAGTAGGCAGCAGAGCCACCTCATGGAGCTCTCCCACCCCCAGACACAGCAGGAAGGCAGGGAGCTCCTCTTGGAGGGAGGGGCCGTGGCCTCGGTCAACGCTGTCACAGGGCCAGCGGCACATGCGCTATCTGTGGGCTTTGCAGACGCCACAGGCTCATCCACAGACCCTCCCCAGGAACCCCCCCCCCAACACTTGCTGCCTCTTCAGCTGACATAACTGAGTCACCCACGATTCTCCTGGTCACCCGGAAGGTAAGGTGGCAGGATCAGGGTGCATCATGGCTACACCTGGACCTGGAGATAGGTCAGTGCCCTGGACGCGTGGCTGCTCACATGCCTTCCACCAGCTCATAATGAGCTGTGGAGCCGAATCTGGGCACGTCTGTGCAGTTCAGGGCTGAATACAAGGGTTCCCAGAATCCTGGCAGGTCAGACAGAAGGAACAATAGACCTTCTCACTCAAGGTGTGATCTTGGGATGAGCTGCTTTGAAGAGCAGGACTTTTGAGTCCGTCACACCCACTGAGCAAAGTCTGCACCTTGAGGGGACCCCCACTCCAGGTGGCCATCAGAGTGGAGAACATGCTGTCCCGCAGGGAGATGGTTGACCTCGGGATCTTAGGGCATGTGTCAAATTCCGGAGTCTTTGAGCTCATACAATCCAGTGTATCACATATGGTCTGTTTAGGAAAACCACATCCTAAAAAACGTGGTGCATCTGGTGAAGAGCCAAAAAAGTCAGGAGTCCCAGTGACCCTGCTTCCAGCTGTCAGATCATCCTTTGAGTCCAAATTATGTCCTGTAAATATTTATCATGTGTAATTTTTGAAGAATTAACTGCTTGTCTACCATGCAGTGCATATTTATTGCTGTCAATTTATTTATTCACTCGGAATTTTGGCCAAGAGTATGAACTCTTCCGTCTTTAAGTAAGATTCTGTGACTCTTGAGAAGTAAACTCTGTCTTGAGGAATCCCTGTGTGGGCATGACTGCTGAGCTGCCTGTCCTCTGAGGCAGCACCTACGAGACGAATGGCGCAGGAAACCGCGATTGCTAGGAAGGCCAGGCTGCACTCAGAAACCAGCCCTTGTTTCCCTCCATCGTCCAGCCAGGTGTTTTCACTCTGGTACTTGGCTGCTGACCCACTGTCTTTAGAATTTTTGTGTGGAAGGCTTTATGTTATGATCAACTCAAGAGGGGACCCTGCCTACACGTGACCTACAAGTTAAATAACACAGGGCACAGAAGACTGTCTGCCAGGAAGCAAACGAAAGCCATTTTGATGAGCCCAGCAACCACTGTGAGGAGCAAACAGGCAGAGAGCAGGCGTGTGGACGTCCGCATCCCTGCCCGCCATGGCCCCCAGTCACATCACTCATCTTCTGTCACGTGACACTCACGGCCCTGAGGTGCCATAAATTATTAAGTCAGCAGCTTCAGGCCATGACTGCAGATGACAGTCTGCGCACCGCTTCCAGGGAATTTAGAGTGTTTAAAGGAATGAATGGCTTTCGCAGCTGCTATGGTTTTTAAAGTGAATGCTGTTCATCTAAGCTGCTGAGTTATCTGACAAGGGTCTGTGATCTGTCCGCACTTGCAGACTACAAGAGGTGTGCCCGGCTTCTTACTCGGCTGGCAGTCAGCCCGATGTGCATGGAGGGATAAGGTAAGCTGGCGGCCCGGTCACCATGGCCTGCACACCAACAACAGGGTGCGTCAGGGACGTGAAAAATGCATGGGGGTTTAAAGACAGTCTTTCTCAGTGAAAGTAGAGTTACTGTGGGTCAGGCTGATAGAATACTCCAAATGTCTTTAAATACTGGCCAGCAGTAAAACACACAGCACCGCAGACAGCCGCTGGGACCCAGTCCCAGGAGGGCGCGCTGGCCGAGTGCACATTGATCTGCACACAGCCCACTGGCTACTGACCTCAGCATGCGCTTGGTGCATATGTGAAGTCTGCTCACCCACCTACAGGCTCTCATTCAGACATTCACAGGTGAGTATATGACTGACCATATCCACGCAGATTCTAGAGACATACTGTTTGAGGCGGACTTCTGTCAGGATGTCAGGGCGCTGACGAAGCTGAAGAACAGCTGCGAACAGGCATCCTCTGTGTCTTGTGTGCCAGGCCAGCCAGATGCCAGGTCTGCCTGCGTCTGATGGCTGCCCCTTCATCTCCCGTGAGTCAAGGAGGGGTGCTCTCCGTGGCGAAGGCCACGCTGGCCAAGGTCTGTGCGAGGGCCCGGGGCAGCCGCCGCCCACAGCACCGCTTCTCCCCAGCGGGAGTCCCTCCAGCAAACAGGGGTTCAGGCAAACAAGCGGTTACTGGAGGCTGTGACCCCACACTCTCCACCGGCTCATGAAACTTACAACACTTCCTATCTGGGGGGAGTGAAAGCACATTTTTTAAAGTGAAAGCTGTGAAATTCCTCCTCCTTCATTTTTCATCTGAATGCTGTCCAGTTTCTCTTCCACTGCCCACGTGGCAAACAGAACACTTATTTTTAAAGCAATGAATGGATTATTATAAGTCTCCCAAAGTACCTGCCAGGAGAGATGAGAATGCTTTTATTAAGTATTTCTTTATAGTTAAAGCATCACTGTTTCCAAAGATGAACCAGGCACATCCTTGGAAAACAACTGCCATTTACTCACAAGTGGGGAGACCCTCAGGCCGCAGGCTCCCTGCCTCCCTTCCTGTGAGCTGACCCCTGCGTCCCGACTGCTCTCCTGCAGAGACAGCTCGCCTGAGTGCAAAGGCGGGAGGAGTGGCCCCCTGGAGCCCTGGCGGCTGTGGCGTGGCCCCCAAGAGTGGTCCCGCTCTGCTCTGTGTCAGGAAGCACACTTGTCACCACTGTCAGGAACCGTGTTCGTTTTGGCCAAGAAAGGTGTCATTTAGAATACAGATTCTTATGCTAAAATACCTTTATAGTACTTTAAAAGATTAATTTCTTCCAATTCCAGAAGCTTTAAGCCCCAATTGCAGACGCTTAACTGGTTGGTGACAGTGTAGACAGTCAAGGGTCGCCCTGACCCCCTGAAGGGTAGAGCTCACATTCTGCATCAACATCCGACTTTGCTCACGAGCCATAAGCTGTGCCCAAGTGCCTCTTCTGCGGTCCTAACCCACGAAGAAGTCAGGACGCTCCTGCAGAGAGAGATGCCTCTTCCCACACCAGACCATGACCTCAGCCTCTTAAAGGCTGGTCTAAGGAAGTCAGGCTTCATGGGGTCCTGAGCAGGGAGCCCCTCCACTCCGTGATCTCAGAGAAGAGCCCTCTCCTTCTTTCTGAATCTCACAACTTGATCTCCTCCAGCCAGAGGAGTCTAGCTTTCCAGCCCCTCTCCCACATGGCAAGACAGCCTCCCCCACACGCTTTCCTTGATCTGGGCTTCCCCTCGGGTAATTTCAAGGCCTTAGGCCGGGAATATTTTCAGAGGAAACAAGTAGCAAGCATCCACCTCATTCTACAAACTGCAGCCTGATCTGAGCAGCCCAGGATCACCCCAGTCAGTCAGACTGCACTGCCGAGAACCCACAGCAGACGCGGCAACACTGAGCTCGTCTTCAGCCCGACAGGCATTCTCTTCATCTGAGACGATTTCATTCCTTCAGCACAGCAGGCCAGTGGTGACAGCAGGACTGAGTTACTTCCCACAGTAAAAAACTCACAGGAACACGGGGAAACACATGCAGACTGAAATTCCTCAGGTCTGGACACACATTACTGTCAGTCACTCAGTCTGTCAGACCCATGGACAGTAGCCCCCCAGGCTCCTCTGTTCACGGGATTTCCCAGGCAAGAACTCTGGAGTTTTCCTTCTGCAGGGTATCTTCCTGACCTGGGATTGAACCTGGGACTCCTGCACCGCAGGTAGATGACGTCACATGTAGTTTAACATACAGGTCTCCCAGTGTGAGTCGTTCTAGGAAACCAAGCCTGTCTGTTTCTGCAGAGCCGCGCGGCAGCCCAGGACCCGTGAGAAGTGCCTTGGAGACCAACAGGACAGACCCACTGCCTTCTGAACACTCCCCGTGAACAGAGATTTATTTTTGCAGACAGACTCTTCCATAACTCCTTTACCTTGAGTTTCGTATGTTGTTGACACCATATGTGGACACATATTCAGTACATTTGTGTGCCTGACAGTAATGCTTGCCACTCATCATTTTAGACAACAGGACTGCATTTGATGTGTCATGCTGTGAAATGGCAGAGAGAGATCTTTTTTCCTGATTAGGTGACATCACAGATATTTCTTTAGAAACATAAGCAGAGTCAGCAGAATCTAAAAATATATTTTCATATAGCATATGGTATTAATATTTTATTATTTTTACAATTAAATTCCCAGAGTATTATTTGGAACTGCATGAAAAAAAAGAACTTCAGTGTGGAGACATCTGTGTACATGCTCAGGCTAATTTCGTCCTTTTGTAAAATAAATGTAAAATAGTATGCAGATACTGTGCAATATGTAAATACTGTAAATAAAACACAAGTAATAAATGAAGTGTTTGTTACAATGAAGTCTTCAGAGTGACTCTTCTGAAAAAGTTTATCTGGGGAATTTATGATTTACAAATCTTTATGAGACTGAAATACTGTCAGAAGCCACAGAATATAAAAGGTATAAATAAACTGAGAAAGCTACAAATTCTTGTAAGGGACAATCAGCATTTTCTAGAAAGTGGTACTATATTGGTGACATACTCTATAAGACACATGATTTGGTAGTGAACAGTTCAAGTAAGTTTGCCTCTGTATTTCCTGTATGACTTTGTAATGGAAACGTGAAACTAAGCTTCCAAGAAGCTCCAGATCTTATAGGTAGATGTATTTTATAGGTAGATGTATTCTATAGGTATACCTGATATATTTTGTAGGTAGATGTATTTTGATATGTTTTGAACAAATCTGACTGGATCTGATTTTTTAGAGACAAGTGAGTCCAGCAGTGAGCTCTTCTGTTCAGACGATCCCTGGTCTGAATACAGCCTGACATGGACTGTGCTGTTTCTTCAGTCATGTCGGACTCTTTGCAAGTGCATGGACTGCAGCCGCCAGGCTCTGCTGTCCATGGGCTTCTCCAGGCAATAATACTGGAGTGGGTTGCCATGCCCTCCTCCATGGGATCTTCCCGACCCAGGGATCTAATCTGAGGCTCCTGCATTGCAGGTGGATTCTGTACCACTGAGCCACCAGGGACGCCCCAGATATAGCCTAGGGACAAAGTCAACTAGAATCCTAGGATTTGTGTGATAATCCGCATGTAAGACATAAACATAAACTATGAACATGAAAGAACAGAAAGAGTAAAAAATTCTCTTGCTGAGATTATTAAGCAATTACTAAATGGTCAAGACTCTGGGGTTTAGCTTCTGAAGTACTTTACTTTCCTGTTTTCTAGCTGCAGTTAAACTTTTCCCCTTGATTCTTTACTTTTTAGAGCTATCATTATCAAATCCTCAGTCCACCTAACTCTTAAGTCTTCAGGATAAGTCTCACGTAGCACAGTCTTCTGGCCAAACCTCCCCAGCATTTCACCTCTGCTAACCCTGACGGCCTGGGGTGATGACAGCCTTATTCGTCCCTCAGGCCCAAGCTAGTTTAGGACTAAATGCCCCCACCTGAGACCCCCAAGACTGAGGACTGGACGCCACGCCTCTGAGCTCTTCCTGCTTCTGAGTGACTGTCACTCAGACTGACCTGAAACTCAGTGCTCCCAGGATTTCAGGTCACCAGCTGTGGACCGGGGTGAAGACTCGGAGAAACGAGGTTCCTCATCCAGCCCTTCACGCAGAGTCTCTCTTGAGGTCCCAGCCCCACCCTCTGCTGAAGGTAAGGGAGGCAAGGCGGCTATATAGGGCTGAGGGCCACCATCTTCTCCCATGAACAGATGAGTCAGGCAGAAGCAACGCGCTTGCTCAGCAGGTCCGCTCCTCAGGCTTCTGCCCAACCCTCACCATACCCCAAACACAGCGACAGGGGAGCCCAGGCGTTCTGACTCTTCCTCCCCTCTCAGTAAAAAGCAGGCAGACACCAGACTTGCACCTCAGTTTTATTTTTCTAATTTCCCCAGTTTATTTAAGAACAATTTTGTCTGACATACATTCATATGAATTTTAGATCAGTTATTTCAAAGTGTGCACAAATTATGTTTATTTCCCTATAACCAGGCACTGACAAAAGAATACTTAATATATCAATATTTAAGTATTCCAACATAAAAGGACTTTTTCCAACTTAACACTTTTTCCCACACAAGGTGATCTATAATTGGCATTCAGGCAGTTATATGCACGTAGAAGCAGACACAGTCCCCAAACTGACCATAAGATGAACCAGCACACACTTCTCCTGGATATAATCACATTTCCAGAGGCAAAGCGGTTCAAATGGGAACAAATAAGTTGACTTCCTTATGAAATAAGCTACACAGACACAAACTAAGAAGGACTGAAGGTGCTAAAGGTGAATCCCACCAATCTCCCTCCTTCCTGTCCTGAAAATCCACGCGTGGGCACTGTGAGCGCGCGACACTCGACCAACGTCGCTGGACGCCAGGCCCTGGCATCGAGAGGTAGTGCAGGCAGGGGCCCGTCCGGAGGGAGAGGTGGTGCGGGGTCCTGGAGGGACGTCTTATTTCACTCCGTCATGTTCTACGGTGCTGATCCACTATTTCGACTGTCCCACTGTTTTTGTAACTGGGGCAAAGTGGGAGGGTTAGCTAGTCTAAGGAACTCTCACCCCATAAACTATCTGAGTCAAAGATTTTTTATTTACTCTTTCGCTGAACACAAAGACTGATTTCCATCTACAATTCTTCTGTCAGGTGAGAAACAGTGAGCGAGCTGAAGGGGGGGCTGCAGCCTTGGCTCGGAAGGGACACTGCTGACGGTTGACACACGGCCTGGGGGGACGAGCCTGGGCCACAGCGGGACGGCCGGGTCAGCGGACCTTCTCCAGGAAGGCCCTGCAGCACCGCACACACTGCTGGTAGACGGTCTCAAAGTCCGCGTCGTTGCCCTGGAAGGACAGGGAGAAGGGAGAGTAACAAAAGTACTCAGGGATGCGCCTTCAGGGAGCCTGCCTCCGACCCCCAACAGCAGGCGCTCACACGGGCTCTCTGTATGTCGCCCTTGTCTGTGAGCATCAGGACGGAAGTGAGACCACACTTACATAATAGGGATCTTCAATGATAAGTTGTTTTTGTGGATCATAGCTCCCGAGTAGTTCGATTTTCGCTCTGCAGTTTTTAACTTGATTACTTTTTCTATTCAAATCTCTGTAAAATTGAAACATGAACTTAGTTTTCTGATCTATGGCTTCCAGTTAAACTGGGACATCTGCTAGGGTTTTATGAAGTATCCGTATCAAAATCCAGCAAAAGTGACCTGATTTAAAAAGGAAACCAAACACTCGGCAGTTCGGCACAGCCTCTGCGTGGCTGCCCCAGCGGGCTCTCTCTTCCAGGCAAGGGGGCTCCAGTGGCAGCAGGCTTACACAGAATGTGCACCCTCAGGTCGGACAATAATTAGCACTCTCCTCTGAAGCACATGTTCAGAAAGACCCAGGGTCAGCAACTGAGCAAGACAACAGGATGGAACTCCAAAAGCCATGAAGACCAGGTCCCAGAGGGTGGCAGGCTCCCTGGGGAGGTGTCCTGAGCAGACCACTGGCCACTCCGTCTGCTCCCACCTCAGCCTTCTCACTGAGCTTTGTGGGGCCTGGTTAACAAACCTCCAAGGGGGAGGTCAGGGTCTCACAGGAACCCTGCAGGCCTCAGAGCACAGAGCCTCCCCAAGAAGCCACGGGGCTGAAACAAGAGGGGCGGGTAGGACTGGGACGGCAAGGGCTGCACCACAAATGCCAACCACTTCCGGAAATTTATCTAGTAAACATGACACACGGAGGTCTCTAGCAAGATGCTGCTGACAACGCTGATAAGCTATTCAGTGAGAAAAATGAGGCCAAACAAGTGAAAAGCAAAAACACAAAATATACGCATTTTAATGGACTTAACGAAAACCCAGGTAAGTTTGGTGCATCTGTACCTGTCCGCCCCACAACAGCGACTCTAGGAAAGAGTTTTCTTCATTAAACGCAGGTGCATTTACGGGTTAGCAGAGAAGCAGTCAGGGTGGCCCTGTGCTCATGAGGAGGGCTGCTCTCTGTTCCCTCGGTGTGGGCAGATGCAGGGGGCCCTGCAGGCAGACTGTGACCTCCCCTCGGTGTGGGCAGACGCGGGGGGCCCTGCAGGCAGACTGTGACCCGCTGTGTGACAAGCAGCTTGGTGCCTGCCTTAGAGCGGGCACAGGTCACACAGTCCTCTGAACTGGCAGACACACTACTGTATTCACTTATCTTTGCACCGTCGGCACATTATATCATATTGTTTGTTAGGTTTAATTTTCACACACGTGGCTCACCCTAGACATCACAAGAGAGGCCCAGGTGACCAGTGCCAGGCACACACCGCTGCAGAAACGCCACCAAGCTTCTTGCTGCCCAGATTTAGGTCCCGAGGGCCACACCCACGTAAGTGACAGCACAGTGGTGGTGTGACTCACGCGCGCAGAGCCGAGGCCTCACGTCCACCACGTCCACCGCTGAACCGGGAACCTGGGCAAGCGATGACCCTCCCGGTGCCTCCGGCTCCTCCGTGATAGCACGGGGCAAGCCTGCAGACTTGTGGGCTGAGTGCGCTGGTGCGCAGAGCTGCTTTTGTCTAATACCTTCATCTGACAGCTTTTGTTTTTAAATTGATTAAGGCAATCAACAATTTAAACAGAGCAAAAAGCCTTTTCTGGTCAGTTTCCCTCTCGGGGCGGGGTGGGGCAGCAATACAGGGGAGTAGGGCGAGAAGCAGAGTGAGCGCCGCGCCGCCCATGAGTCATCGCAGCGGCCACACTCTCTCCTGCAAAACAGAGGATCACCTTACATCTCAGACTCGCCCTTGTCTAAAGGTGCGCCTCAATTAAACATACCTATGAGACTCAATCCTAAATGACTGGATTTCTCACTCTTCTAAATTAATAATTCTGCATATTATGACCATCACTATTTATTAAAAGTTTAAGGTAATAAAAAAGTCATTTGAACAAACTGCTTGGCCTGTTACTGAAATGAGTTGAAGAGAAATACCCTTTAAAAATGTGATTACCTCAGATTGCTCTCATCCATACACAGTATATAATCAAAAGTGGCAAAGTCTTCTTTGGTAACCTGAAAGCAAATGAGAAATCAAAACACAGTGTTTACATTCAGACCAATTAAGCCTAGAGGACCAAAAACAGAACTTTAAAAAAAAGCTATACTTGAATCTGCTACTAATTAAGTTGAACCATTTAGGGCACTTTAGAGTTAAAACAGAGTTAACCTATCAGTAATTTCCTAAAATTGTATTACAAAGAAGTTTTATAAAGTTTCCTGGAGTAACCGTAAGATAGTATTTTATAGTATGTGCATGCAAAGCTTATACTTCATCTTAGACTTCTTAGAAATGAAGTGTAATACAGCTAACTTATTACACATTCCATATCTGAGTCCTGTTCTTCACTCTCCAGGCCCTCATTCCGAGCCCCAGTGACGGGCGCCCACTGCAGGGCAGACAGCTGTCTTTGTGGGGCTTCCCCCACGCAGGGCAGGCAGCTCACGGGAGTGACTGTGTCTCATGGAAAAATAAAGCAGAGAAGAGGGGAGAGGAAGATGACATGTAAGTAGGGGTCAGGGAAGAGAAACTAAGACAGAAACACATGAGTGACACTCTCTGGATCGTCTATCTTCTGACTGAATATTTATAATCTGGACATGACACAGGAAGAGTGCCACTCAGTATTTTTACAAATTCTAACCTAAACTTGACATTTTGGGGGGATCCCCTCATTGCTCAGTTGGTAAAGAATCTGCCTGCAATGGAGACTCCGGTTCAATTCCTGGGTCGGGAAGATCCGCTGGAAAAGGGATAGGCTATCCATTCCAGTATTCTTGGACTTCCCTTGTGGCTCAGCTGGTAAAGAATCTGCCTGCAATGTGGGAGACCTGGGTTTGATCCCTGGGTTGGGAAGATCCCCTGGAGGAGGGAAAGGCTACCCACTCCAGTTATCTAGAACTAAGAAAGAAATGCACGAGTAACAGTCTCTGGATCTTCTTTCTTCTGACTGAATATCTACAATTTGGACATGACACAGAAGAGAGTGCCACTTAATATTTTTACTAATTCTAACCTGAACTTTTCATTTTTTGACATTTATAAACACAAGCCTGCTAAAATATAAATGAAAAATTATTTTATGATTTTTTACTGTTATAATGACAAGAAAGGAGCAACTATATTCAATTTTAATAACCTATAAGGGCGAAGAATCCAAAAAAGAATATATAGAATAGAATCATTCTGCTGTACTCCTGAAACTAACACAGCATTGTAAGTTAACTATACGTCAACTAAAACAATGGCAGGAAGGGAGGGAGGGAAGAAGGAAAACATGCCCCAAATCAAAGGCGGAAATAATTTCTAGGAATGCAATTTCAATAATCATCTTCCTCACTAAAAAAAGTCCTCTGAAATACAGTGGTACAGTGACACCACAAGAAAGATTCTGACAATCTGGTTAAGCAGAGAAGTGATACTCGACTATACTCAGTTTTGCAAAAGAACAATAAATATGCTCATTATTCTATTAAAAATAATAAATTTTGCCTCTCAGTATGCATTTGCATTAGTTTTCAGCATACTATATTAATAAAATACTGTAATCAATTTTGTTCACGTTCCCAAGGTACTAGATTATTTCAAAATGTATTAGAACAAACATTATAAGTTATTGCCCCAAGTTAGTTGTCTGAAAATGTCCTGGGATTAAACATTAAACACTGTCTTTAATTTTGGAAAGACTGACTACAGACCCTAAAATTTAGTAACTGACAGCTACATGTAGCTACATGATGTTAAGATGTTAAAATAATTGTTAAAGAATTGACAATTAACATAAAGAATGCACGGTAAAGGATTTCCGCTTGCACCTATAAATGAAATAGCTGTGACAAAACAACCCTATTGCTAAAAGAAACTAGAAAATGCCCATCAAAACCGAACACATCTGCACAATCATTAACTCGCCCCCACGACAGCCAGGCTGAGAAAGGCCAAAATCCCAAGTGCGTGTGCAGAGCCAAGTGTGCACGCAGAGCCAAGCGTGCAAACCCGTGGGCTCTGCTGCTGCGGACAAGCCTGGCTGCTTGAGGGGCTGACCTGCCAGAGGCAGCCGGCAGTCTGCTCCCACCCCTAGAGCACTTGCTGACCCTGCACCTCGGCTTGGGATCAGAAGCGAGATCTTAAACTTCTTGGTTTTAACTCTTAAGATGTTTACCAAAGTTATTAAAAGTAAAATTGTTATAAACTATTTGCTTAAAATAATAAAAATTCATTACTTGTTATTATAACACTTTTGTAAATGAAAAACTGCTATACTTTCCACACTGAAACACAGGCAGGAGGAGAGTTGCACGGTTTTACATCTCTGCAAATCTCTTTAATATCTGCTTATTCAAGACGGGTGTGCTTCAGCATCTGATCGGCTGAAATACGCAAGCCCAGCCTCACACAAGTACATAGCTTGAAAGAAGTCTTTTAACACCCATTGTATGACTGTGGATATTCTTTGATCTAACACCAAAATTCACAGGTCTCTTACAATGCGGAGTATGAAAACACATCAGCAAGCTTCTCCTCTGTCCACGTTCACTGGCTAGTCTGACCCTTTGAATGGACTCCTTACTCACACATTTTGACCTCATGACCGAGGGTCCCTGGAACCCACTGTGGGGACCACGCTCTAGACTCACAGGAGGGGCTGTCAGCAACATCTGAGTACACTGTGATCATAGCAATGGGGGGGCAGGGAAAGTGGGTGCTCAGCATCAGGAGGGTAGAACCATGTGGCCTCCTGGGTCATGAGAAGCCTGGGCAGAAGCACCAAAGGACAGCCAGCAACCTCACCAGCCGGAGAAGCTAGAGGCGAGGATGGCAAGACGGCCGGAGGAGGAGGGAGCCCCAGAGCGGGGAGGCTGGCCCCACAGGGTCTCTCTCAGAGCACCTGGTGAGCTCCTAACAGACTCAGCGCAAGAAGCCAAGAGGACAAGTGGCAGGCAGCAGCAGCAGACCCAGGGAGGGAGAAACAGAACTCTGCCTCCAGACAGAAGCAGGCACCCCATCAGGTAGGGCTCCTGAGTTCCCCCGAGAGGAGCCGACCAGGATGGCCAGAGCCCTGTGAAGCAGGACGAGCTCCCAGTCGGCTCGGAACCAGACCCTTCCCACCAAAGTGAAGCCCCGAGGGCGAAGGACCTGCACCCGGAGCGTCCACAGGGCTCACAGGTCAAGCTCGGCATTTAATCCAAATCAGCACAGAAGCAATAAACAAAGGGGAAGGAGAGTAGACTCACAAGGACCCAGGTGTCAGTCACCAGACCTTATTTTATTGGGTTGGCCAAAAACCTCATTTGGGTTTTCCAGAATATGTTACAGAAAATTCCAAACAAACTTTTTCCAAATAAACTCTTGTTGCTGTTGTTCAGTTGCTTGTTGTGTCTGATTCTTTGCAACCCCATGGACTGCAGCACACCAGGCTTCCCTGTCCTTCACTATCTTCCACGGTTTGCTCAAACTCAGGTCCGTTGAGTCAGTGATGCCATCCAACCATCTCATCCTCTGTCACCCTCTTCTCCTCTTACTCTCATCTTTCCCCAGCATCAGGCTCTGTTCCAATGAACTGGCTCTTGGCATCAGGTGGCCAAAGCACTGGAGTTTTAGCTTCAGCATCAGTCCTTCCAATGAATATTCAGGGTTGGTTTCCTTTAGGATTAACTGGTTTGATCTCCTTGCAGTCCAAGGGACTCTCAAGAGTTGTCTCCAGCATCACAGTTTGAAAGCATCAATTCTTTGGCACTCAGTTCTTTGTGGTCCCACATACATACATGACTACTGGAAAAACCACAGCTTTGACTATATGGACCTCTGTCAGCAAAGTAATGTCTGCTTTTTAACATGCTGTCTAGGTTTGTCAAAACTTTTTGGCCAACCAAATAAACAGCTATGTTCAGACTTGTTCAAAAAAATATAGGGCAAGATGCATAATTTCACCAGAGGGTTGGAATCAATTTTTTAAAATGAAATAAAATGTATTAAATAAAATAACAGACATCAAATATTCCATAAAGGCTTATATCCTGGGTGTTCATTGGAAGGACTGATGTTGAAGCTGAAACTCCAATACTTTGACCACCTGATGCAAAGAGATGACTCACTGGAAAAGACCCTGATGCTGAGAAAGATTGACGGCAGGAGGAGAAGGGGACGACAGAGGATGAGATGCTTGGATGGCATCACAGACTCGATGGACATGGGTTTGGGTGGACTCCGGGAGTTGGTGATGGACAGGGAGGCCTGGTGTGCTGCAGTTATGGGTCACAAAGAGTCGGACACGATTGAGCGACTGAACTGAACTGAACTGTTTGAAAACACAAAGACTAGTACATCACAAAACAGGTCAGTAGAAAATCTCAGGCTAAAAACCAGAGTGAAAAGGATGGAAAAAGTAGAAAAGTCATAAGAAATTTATGTTTAAAATACATTTAGGCTGAATTTCAAAAGAATGAGGGGAAGAAAAATATACACAGATAATAACCCAGAATTTTCCAGCATTGATAAAAACCATCAAGACACAAATTCAGGAAGTGAAGTTGACCACATAAAATTGCCAGAAACTACACCGCAAAGAAAAGCTAAAGACAGCAGAAGAAAATGACAGCAAGTGTCAGAAACAACAAAATGAGGATGGAGCAGATGAACCTTCCCAGACGGTTACAGCAGAGACACCGTCACTGTTTGGCAAAATCAGCGAAGAGAACATCAGGCCACCTGTGTTACAAGGCCGCTCCGCCCAGAGGCACGGATAAACCAACTGCCACTGACGGTGCCACGACCCTGAATCCAAAGATGAAGATGACTGCAGCTCTGCGAGGAGCAATACGGAGAATCTCACAAAGGAAGTGCCGACAGAAAGACACGCACTAGAGGACTGCACCGCCATGAAGTTCAGAGGTCAGAAGGCGTTCTGAGCGGGGCGCTCTGCAGTAGAGCCGGGGAGCCGCTGCGACGCGAGCCGCACTGCGCGCCCAGACACCTGTGTGTGTGTCAGTCAAGTTCATGGAAAGCGAAGCGTGTGGTGAAGTACACACCCCGCAGAACTAACCGGGTGAGAGCTCACATACTCCAGACAACCGATTTACACGCAATACAGAGAGAAAAGCGCCCTAAATGTATTCTGTCTGTGAAACTCAGGTTTAGTAGAAGTATTATGGTTCTCATACAAGCTGTGACACTAAAGAGGAAACCTGTAAACATTAGAAAATGCTAAAAAATGACAAAGATCTGATGTGATACTGATATATCCTACTAGAACTTTGAAATTTAAAAAAAAGTCATTGTTGAGAAGTTTCTTAAAAGCAACAAGGAAAAGGAAAAAGTAGATTATGTGGAGATACCACTTCTAAAAGGGGTAATAATTTCATAAGCAATAACTTTCTAGCTTTGTTTTTTTAAGGCATGTGTATTTAAAATACTTCATTTGTGCCCATTTTTATTATAAACTTAATGTATGAAAAAAATCTGATCTTAAAAATAGAAAATATGAAAATATGATTGCGCATAATTCTCAAGGACTACTCAAAATAAATCTGTTATTTAAAAAACAGAAAGTAGAAATTGGCAAGGAATCCAAAACCCTGAAGAGATTAAGAATGGACAAATGATATAAAAAATGTTTAATCTCTGTCCAATGAAATTCCACTTAAGAAAGGGTTTTTAAAATAGTTAAATAGTAAATTGTTAACACACACAGTCAACTACAGAGCCAGAAAATTAGTTCACAGATCTCAGATTATTCTCAGACAAAAATAATCTGTGTATTACTAATTCCTGAGACATAAACATGTTAAAAGTATTTCTATAGCAATTTTGTTTTGTGAATTTTCTGGCCTACATTCCACCAAATAAACCTGTAATTAAATCCAAGTTCTACTACTTGGCAGCTGGGTAACCTTTAATAAGTCATTTATTTTCTCTCTGGAAGTGTTTCTTGATCTGAAAAATGTGTTTATCAACTACTTCCTACCACAACTGATAAAAATTAAGACAATAATAATTTAAAATATGATGTGTGGCAAAGCAATCTGCAAAGTTTTAAGCAAAAACAAGATTTAGTATAACAATGACTAAGGAATCTTTATCTAGTTTTACAAAAAGTTCTGATTTAAGCACTAGTACTCAATTATAGTTCCCACGCAGCCACCCATACTTATAAACATGCAATATATTTGACAAGCGATTTTCAAAATACTTGGCTTCTCATTTTGAAGGCCTCAAAAGCTCTTCTCCAGGCGTGGGCTGTCATGCTCTGACACCAAGCCACAGCCCTTCTTGGGCCGTGCGTGGTTCAGCTGGAATCCCAGTCCACAGAGCTGTACATTTTGTTAGGATGATACAAAACGAAGTTCAAAGGTTTTAGACAGGTTTTTTAAAACATCCAATTGAATCTCCACAAAATAATCGCACCGATAAAGTAACAGTTCCTGTAGAACAGCACAGCAGTCAGGAACGAAGCCCATTTCTGCAGAAGCTGGTCCCTGTGCCTACAGAAGTCCCCCGTGCCAGCACCCGCTGCAGCTTCTAGACAAGGAGAGACAGGGCTGGCTGCCCTTGGGCCCTGATGTCTTGCTGGGCACGCCGCTATGGAAACCTCACTCCCCCACCCCATAGTCCCATGTGAGTCTGGAACCCCATAGGCACCCACCAGACCAAATGGCTATTGAAATGTGTTATAATTTAAAATTCAGCTCCCATCACACTGGCCTTATGTCAAAAGTGCAAGAGCTACATGGAGCTGGTGGACTCCACCCTGGAAAGCAGTAGATGCGCCCGCCTCAATGCAGAATGTTCTACTGGGCCACACTCCAGAACCCAAACTCAGAAGCAAAACTGCTGTGTGCAGAATATGCATCCATAAAAATATCAGCATTACCCTGTATTTCTAAGGCACTTCACAGTTGAAAATGTTTTTGTATTAATAGCAGAACTGGATTCTATTGGGTTGGCCAAAAAGTTCGTTCAAGTTGTTCCGTAAGATGTTATGTAAAGCCCAAACAAACCTTTGGGCCAAGCCAACAGTAACAACCTTGTAACGGAAGCAGACTAAGTCATCATGGACCAGAATACAAAAGGACACCAGAAATAGAAAGGACACGACAGCTCAGGTCACCCAGCGCTCAGTCACGGCTCTCTCGACCTCACACTCTAATAAGCCAATTCCAAGGTCACACAAACCTTTCAGAACTGTGGACCCAGAACAGGTGCACTGTGGCTGGTTAAGCCAACCCTATATAAACACATTCATTACATGTAAGTCTCATTAAGCTTCTCACAACTCTCAGGTTATGGGATCAATGCATGAGAAATTAAACAAGGTTTCTTCTACCTGTCTTGCTTTATGGGCTGTGTTAATGCCATGATTTCTTAGGCAGCTCACAGCTCTTGGATCTGGTGACCGGCCCACGTTCCAGTCAGAAACAGCGCCACTGTCAATGACCCACTGCAACATAAAACACACAAGTGCACTTTCAAGGTCAAGTACGGTACCTGCCGGGCAACGTGACTCATGGGGATACCATGCTTCTTCATGCAAGCCTGCCCCCGATAATCAGGAGGGTTTCCTAGTTCATACGTGGATGTCGCTGCACTGTCTATCCTCCACTGCAGGAGAAAAAAAGAATTCTTTTCACAATTTTCTGCCCCAAAGCCATTCAAGTTGGCCTCTTTAAGACAGTAACAGTACTTACATTATCTGAAATGTTTTGATCAGTTACAAGTTTCCTGAAAACTGCTTCTGCGATGGGTGATCGACAGATGTTACCTTAAAAAGAGGTGGGGGAGCAGAGAGTGAGTGTCTGGTTTGAGAGAAGCGCAGGTGCTAAGCCCAGCACAGCACAAGCTCACAAGACTCCACACAGCTGGGGCAGCGAGGGAGCAAGGCAAACACTCTTCTCTGCGGTGACTGTGCTACCAGCACGTGGCAGGACCTGGCGGGACAGCTGACCCAATCCCACTCGATGACTTCAAACCAACCATCCAAATACACAAAGTACAAATGACAAGGACATTAGAAATCAGAACAGTTAGGACCAAAATCATCGTTTTTCAGTTTGCTATCACTGACCCAGAAGCTAATCATGAAATCAAATGAATGGGTTGCAACCAGTCTATTTTAAAATGATATAGAACAAGAGTTTTAAAATATGTACTTTCAAGTATACTGCACACAATAAAACAATACATTGTTTCATAAAATACAAAAGCAAATACATTTAGGCCGAACAGCAGAACAGCGGTTCTACACAGACTCCTACTAAAGGACCTGTGCAGAGCCCTTGCTGGAGCGCCGTGCACCCAGGAGCCGGAGCTTGGGCAGGGACGGGCCTCCAAGCCGTCTAGTCTGCCCAGAACTTCCGCCCAGAACCAGCTGCAAGTTCATCGATTCCCAGGACCACCCTCAGTTCAAACTAGCTGGCCACAAATTTGGGGGTCCGCACCTGATGTGTAGAACTGACTCAATGGAAAAGATCCTGATGCTAGGAAAGACTGAAGGCAGGAGGTGAAGGGGGTGACAGAGAATGAGATGGTTAAATGGCATCATCAACTCAATGGATATGAATTTGAGCAAATTCCAGGAGATAGTGAAGGACGGGAAGCCTGGTGTGCTGTAGTCCATGGGGTCACAAAGAGCTGGACACGACTTAGCGACTGAACAACAACAGGTTCAGTATTTCTCTAAAAGGATTGTAGAATTCAGGAAAATGTTATAGTTTTACTATTACAAAAAGACACAGAACAGAACCAGCCAAACTCAGAGGGCATATTGAAGATTCTGGAAGAGTTCCAAACAGGAAACTCTGGTCTTCAGGGACAGGTCATCTTCCCATCATCCATGTGTGACTACACTCAGGGTACAGCCAATCCAGGATGCCACCCAGAGCTCCAGTGCCAAGGACTTATTGGGAATAACTACAATTAATTTATCACTTAATTAACTATAATTAAACTCAATTAAAACAAGAAAATAAACGCTAATAGATACAAGAGAACAGGAAAAGAAGATAACATTTCTTACAAGAAAAAAGAACAATTAGGCTTGGTTTGTAAAGAAAGTATTTATCAATAAATACTGATTAATTGTAGGAAAAAGGTCACCTGACATCACTGTGTTCTCATTTCCCACGGTGCTGGCTGGGACAACAACAGCACACATCCTCTAGTCCGTCTGCCTCGAAAAAGTACCGAATGCTTCATAGTCTTGCCAAAATAAGGAGTTCCATTCTTTTCTGCTATCACCCTTACCGACGGTAAACACGCGACACTTTTCTGCACTTCAGTCTGGCTCAGAGGTTAAAGTGTCTGCCTGCAATTCAGGAGACCTGGGTTCAATCCTGGGGTCGGGAAGACCCCCTGGAGAAGGAAATGGCAACCCACTCCAGTATTCTTGCCTGGAGAATCCCATGGAGGGAGGAGCCTGGTGGGCTACAGTCCACAGGGTTGCAAAGAGTCAGACAGGACTGAGCGACTTAACTAACTAAATGTTTGAAGGAATAAAACTTTCACCTTTCAGAAATGCACTGCTGTTACTGTTCTGCATACAGGCTGCCAAGTGAAATGGCAAATAGTGACCTCAAATCCCCTCAGAACTCCACGTCTCACCCCCTCCACCAGCAAAGCTCTGGTCTAACACACAAGCTCTCTTTCAATGGTGGGTCTCCCTCTCGTGGCTTTCGCTCTTCTTCAGTCCAATCTCAACACGACAGCTGAACGGCCACAACACCTGAACTTCCCACCTCTGCTCAAAACCCTCCGAAGGCTTAACTCACTCAGTGATCCAAGTCCTTACACAGCCTCACCAGATCCATTCTCCACAGGACCTAATGTGGGTCTGAAAACTAGGAATCAGGACCCGCCACCTTTGTACACAGTTCTCAATGCTAAAAATAATTTTTACATTTTTAAGCAATTGAAAAAACTCAAAAGTACAGTATGTTGTGACATGAGATTATGCAGAATTCAAATTCCAGTGGGCACGAACAATCACATCGAGCATGACTGTTCACGTACTGGCTAGGGCTGCTTCTGCACTACACTTCTGGTATGACCGTCAAAGCACAATATATTTGTTCTCTGGCTCTTCAAAGGGTTTGCTGACTCCTGCCCCAGCTCACTGTACATGCACCAAGAATGGGACAAGTTTCGGATCCACTGGGCGCTGAGAAAACAAGTCAACATTATCTCCGAGTCCTCGGGAACTGAGGCAAGTCTGTTCAGAAGCAACTAGAGCACCAGACCCAGTGCTGCAGCTTCCCTGCTGTGTCGTGAACATGGCCAGAACCCTCTGTTCAGAATCCTTCACCTGCTTTCCTCCAGGTCCAGGATGCTTTTCCAAAATACCCTATGCTTGCTTCCCTACTTTTTCCAAGTCTTTCTTCAAATGGCACCTTCTCAGTAAGGCCTCCCCCCAAAACCCTTCTTACAGCTGCATTCCACTCCCATCCCCCCTTCCTGCCTTAGTGTTAACACCAGCTGACTAAGTAGCCAAATCCTTGACTGTTGATGACACAGTGTGAGCTCTTGACAGGCAGGGATAGTTGTCTGTTTTCCTCACCACCGTATCCCTAGCATTCAGAACAGTGCCTGGTACCATGGCAGTTGCTGGAAAAAGAAAGCATACTGAAGATAAACACACACAAGCAGATATCTCCCATCAAGAGCCAGCAGAGTGCACCATGTCAGCCTAACCAACACTGCTAAGTAAAATAAGCAAAGCAATGGAATCCTGTTAAGATACTCAACATAAACCGAACTGCCCTTTAATAAAGCTGTTGAGTCCATCAGTCAACCTTCAGTGTAGAGCTTAAAATCAAATGACGCCCACTGTCAACATGAAACAAGGACGCCTTTTACTTTTTCCTTCATAGATATCCAATTCTACAAATACTTGGTGAACATATTTTGTCTTAAAGCTGTAAACAGAAAGAAAAATAAGCCACAGTCATTGCCTTAAAGAGAGTTAAATCTAGCTATAATTGCAGCAGGCTTTCAAGTAATTATAATAAAATTTGTGTGAGGGAAGATGTATATAAAGTGTCATGGGAACAACTACCTGTACCAAGAGGATCTGGAAAAAGTAAAGAAGGGAATGCTTGGGTCTGACCTTTTAGAAAGATTCTCCTGGAAAAATGCAGAGTGAGCTCCCAGAAAGAAGTACCCAGTGGAAGGCACGCTGAGCAGCTGAAAAGCAGGAGAGCGGCACCCAGAGAGTGTGTGGGTAGGAAACAGGAAACCAGGGCAAGTGGGAGAGGCCGAGCAGATCTCTGTGGTCTCCCATAAGAGTGCATCTGAGGAGGAGTGGAAAAGCTATTATTCTGCAGGAAATGCAGGCTCACCCAGAGCTTTTTATGGACTACTGGCCATTTAGGCCTTTCTGGGAATTAAGGAGATGTGGTGGAAATGCTGAGATGCGGTATAAAATGAAGAGTCCCGAAAGCTAAAGGGACACTGAACTCTATTTTAAGAAGGGAAGGCTGATTGCTGAAATCTTAAAAATGAAATAATTCCGAGCTGGAAAGTAACTAAAGAATTAAAAGGGAGAAAAATACCTTCATTTCATGTAGAGAAATATTGGCACATGGGGCTGTTACACAGCGACCTAAAGAATCAAATTTCCCAGGTTTGAATTTTACAACAAGAAATCCTAAGCCTTCTCATTCCATCTGCCTTTACGTGTGCTCCATCTGGGAGCCTGAAACAAGGAAACAGGCCAGCAAACCAGTGCTATCATGGGTCTCGGGTATCAGCAGACCCTTAAAGGTCAGATCAGTTCAGTGGCCTCGGGTTTACCTGCAGGGGAAGGAACTATAGCCAAGTACAACGGCAAGAGCCCCGGCTTGGAGTGCAGATGCTGCAGGTGAGCGGGGACCCAGGCTTGAGAAAACTGAACAAAAGCTAGAGACCCAGACCTGCAAGAGGAGTCGGCAGGCGACAGAGGTTCTGACTCAGACACCTGACTTAGAACCGGGCTTGTCAAGAGCACCCAGCGTGCAGAGCCGCCCTGCGGCCGCGGGGCGCACACAAGAGGCGCCGCGCATCGACCACCCTCGGGTCTCCCCTCTCTGGCCACCTCCCCATCGCTTTCCCTGGTTCAGCGGCGCAGAGCAGCTCAGAACGCATAACGCCCTACCCAGCCCTCCAGAAAGCTCAGAGCGGGGCTAGATCGGCGCCGTCTCACCCAGACACACGAACAGCACCGACTTGGTCACCTGCTCAGCCATCTTCCCGCGCGCGCAGAGGCGCCCAGTAATAACGTCGGAACGCTTCCGGCGCAGCGCATGCGCACTGCGAGCGGCCCGCCGGTGCGCCTGCGTGATCTGGCGCTGACCTCTGGGGCGAGCGGGGCGGTTTTGCGCTGGCGCAGTCTGGCCTCAGCGCCGCCGGCTGGAGGCGGAGCCGCGAGCCACCTGGAGGCCTTGGGGGAGGGGACGGCGGGGCGGTGCCGAGAGCCACCTGAGGGGGGAGGGCCCCACCTGAGGCGGGAGGGCCACGGGGAGGAGCGGGGTGCGCGCCGCCGAGAGACCGCCGAGGCCGGAGAGGGCGTAGCCCCGGGCCACAGGGGTTCGCGGGACCGCAGGGCGAAGCCAGCGCGGCGGGGCCTGCTCTGTCCCCTCGGGTCCTCGGAGAGAGGAGGGCCAGTCCTGCGCTCAGGTGAGCGCCCGTCAGCGAGCCACCGGCTGCACGTGACGGCCGCCCTCGGGGGGCGGGTCCACTCGCTCCTCTTGAGACCTGGGGCCCCCGCCCCCGCCCGGTGGGACCGCCGCGTTCGGCCGGCGCACTCGTCAACGACGGGCTGCTTCCGTGCCCGAGGGCGGGCGCGCCCCTTAACTGCGAGTCCGTACAAAGCGGTGCTCCCCCAGTGGGAGCGTGTGGACCTGCCCCTCACCTGCCCCAGGTGTGCGCCTCCCACCGCGGCCATACCTGCCCAGGTGTGCGCCGCCCACAGCGGCCCCCGCCCGGAGGCGGAGCCGCGGCAGCTCCCATCCTCTCCCTGGGCGCGGTCCACAGCGCTGGGGCGCCGGAGCGGGCCAGGCTCGGGGTCGCGAGTGAGTAGGGGCGTCGGCGCGGGCCTCTCCTGGCCTCGGGGCCGCCGCCGCCGGGCCTCGAGAGTCTCGCTGGGGAGGGCCAGTCTTCGGGGGAAAAAGGAGAAGCTGTGTCTCTGGGATTGTTTGCTCTTGCGTGTCTTTTAATGCTGTCATCCCACAAGCTGTCAGAAGTTAAAAGGACTCTCCACAAACGTGGTGTGATGCGGAGTCAGCCCCCGTCGATTCGATTCACAGTCAAACTCTTCTTGTTTACAGTTTTTATGGTTATCGTTCATTTTATTCGATGTGTAAATATCTAAAGCTTGAAAAGCCAGGTATTTGTTGCTGTCCTTTCCGTTTCCTGTGTGTAAGTGCAGGTTATTCTGGACCTCTGTCAGAGTCGTCTGGGTTGAGCCTGCCTCTGACTCGGGCAGGAGTCCGTGTGCTGCCCTTGCTCCGCGACCACCTGAGGCTTAACTGCCAGGCCCTCCAGGCTCACCGGCCCCGCCTGTGATCAGCCGCGCTTTGCGGGTATCGCTGAGGGTAGACTGACTGCAGCCTGGCTCTGGGAGCCCTGGACCCCGTTATCTCTGTGTTGTGATAGTTTTTCCTTGTTTAAAGAAGCAGGAAACTGCTCTGAGTTGGTAGATAACCAGACGGTAATGAGATGTACCCTACTAGCTGGAAGTGTGTCATTTTCACTTCCTTTCAGTTGGAGTTTGCCACTGCTGCTGCTGAGGCTGAGTCGGAGAGAATGACACAGACAGGGGACCCCTGCCCACAGACAGTAGGAAGCTGATGGCCCCAGAATGTTCTACCAAATGGGCGAGGTTTCTAGGTTTTGTTTTATATACAGAACATACAGTGTTCTGCGTTTTTGTCCTCATGAAAGTTTTATTGCTATGTGAGAGATGCCTGAGTTAATAATGGGTTAGTCAGAAACTCTGCACACACCCACCTCAGAGAAACAAGTTTCCAGTGGTACTGTTTAGTTCTTTGTGTGGCCTGCTGTTGAAATACCTGTGCAGTGACCAGCTGGAGGTTAAAGGAAGTTATTACTTCTAGCCTGTTTATCATGCTTAAAATAAGGAGAATTGGTTACCTGGTTTACAAATGTTCTATTTAAACAAAGTTTCTATAAAACTAGTTAATACTGCGCCTCATCTTTTGAAAGATTAAAAAAAATATTTAAGAGAAATCGTTGCTCATCAAGAGTGATTTGATGCTTTTATTCCATTTAGGAAATTTTCTCAGGGAGTTGCTCTCTGTTTAGAAATTAGGAAGTGGTATTTGGAAAGAAGAGACTGCCG